CGCATTAGATTTGCATCCTTCATCCTTATGTGCATTTATTTTTCATGCATACATACAGAACCCCTTTATACTCAGGTCCTTTTCAGTCAGATTGATCCATCTCGGGAAATCACTTTGCAGAATTGATCCATCTCGGGAAATCACTTTGAGAGCTTGGCGCCGACGTCCTGGTCAACGTTTGGTCAGAGTGTCCCCAATCCCCGAGTCTACTCCGTGTAGTCCTGTGGTTAGTCCAAGCTCGCCTATTACGGTTGCTGATTCGGATCTTGTTGAGATGGCTGACAATATTGTGAATGACACTGGTTTTTCTCCAGCCCAGATAAGGGCTATCACTGAGATAATAATTGCGGTTCTTGCTTAAGAGAGAGCACAGAATCAGGTCCCTCCTGCTTCAAGCAATCAGCTTGTAGTTGAGGAAAGAGAGATTCCAGAACCCACTTAGGTAACCAAGCATCTGCTGGTAACGCTGCTCCGGTTGAGAATGATCTAAGTAAGCAATTTGCAGAACTGAAAGATAAGTTTGAGAAAATGACTGTTGCAAAAGAGAAAGACCCTGTTACCAATTTCCATGTGACGGAATATATTCTGAATCCCACAAGTTCTACTTCCTTCAAGACCTTCAAGCATACCTTATTTGAAGGAGACAATGACCCGAGGTCCCACTTGTCCGAGTTCATTTGCATTGCTCAAATGAACCGGTATAATGAAGAGGATGTATTGCGGGCATTTCCTCAAACACTGCACAAGAGCTACCAGAGATGGTATGATAGTCTAGAGATGGAAGTACAAAGAGACTGGGTCAAACTACAGATCGCTTTTCTCAAGCACTTCAAAACAGATGACAGTGATGAATTTGGCCTGCGTGATTTGGAGAGCTTGAGGCAAGAGAAGGACGAAAGCTTCTCAGATTATTACAGGAGATGGAGGACAAAGCTGTTCATGGTCCAGACAAGGCCAAAGGACCAAGAGCTGATCAGGATTTTCAATCGAAGTCTGCTGCCCTACTTTAAGGAAAGGATGCTGGCCCAACCTCTCACTGACTTTTCTCTAGTGCAAAGGGCTGGGCTGAATATTGAAGAGCTGTATAAAGAGGAAAAGAAGAAAAGCTAGGGATTTGGTAACTACCGATCTTCTTACAATGATCAAAGTAGAAATGCTGGAAATAATGCTGCAAACCAGTCGGGGAGTAGCAATACTATTGGAGCTATTAATGAGAAAGTGAGAAGGGAGTTCACCGATTTGGGTAGACCTCTAAGCACAGTCATGAGATCCTGCATCAAGAATGGCGTGCTGTCCAAATTACCAGTTAATCCATCTAAGCCTGTTCGAGGTAAATTTCTGGATCGGGACTGCGAGTATTACCAGTGTAAAGGTCATTCTACTGATGATTGCTTCAAGCTTAGGCATGACATACAGAATTTAATAGACAGTGGGAAGATTACCAAACCTTCTGAGCGCAATAAGCCAAGCACAAAGAATAATCCCTTACCACAATACCAGTATAAAGCCAAGCACAAAGAATAATCCCTTACCACAATACCAGTATAACTATCCACCTTATAAGCCTTCAGCAGGTGGATCAGTCAATGCAATTGGAAGTGATTTATCGGAAGAATTGGTATTGGCAGAGGCCGAATGGGAGGAGAAAATGTGTGCCATGTTGAACATCTGGGATGACTGTAGCAGTGAGGAGGAAACGGAACAGAAACCGGTAAAGGTTGAAATAGAAAGAAGCATCACAGTTAAAATTGGCGAATTACCAGAAAGCGAAGATGAGCAGGTTCAGCTTGCAATCCAAAACAGTCTGGCTGATCAAGCAGACCAATGGTACTATAGTAGTGATGAGGATGTGAATGAAGTGGGCATTCAGAGTTTGACCCGCAGCGGTCCAGTGTACAACCCAGACAACAATTACCAGGCTAAGGGAAAAGCAGTTGTCATCGAAGGGGCAGGAAAGAAAACAACAGATAAGGGTGAAGAACAGCCCAAGGAGAAGAAAAAGGAAGAAGAAATGGGGAAAACACAAAAGAAGGCTACTGAAGTGCCTGAAAGTAGTCAAAACAGGGTGCCAAGCGGCGTAACAGCAAGTTCAGCATTGAGTCAGCTACAAAGGACTAAGGCTGACATTTCATTGTGGGATTTATTGATACCCTCAAAGGAACATAGGGAATCTTTATTAGAAGCCATGACATTTGTCAGAGTTCCTGCGAGAATCCAGAGCGTGGATATGATTAATGTACTGCAGCGCAAGATTGGTGAGATCACCTTCTTTGATTCAGATCTTCCCCCCGAAGGTAGGAATCACTTCAAACCTCTGTACATCCAGGTTGCTGTTAATGCTGTTAATGGACAGAAACCTGCAATGTGATGGTGGATAACGGGTCGGGCGATCTGTGTGTATGCCCACTGAAGATGTTGCCCCAAATTTAAGATTTGAAGATGTTGCCCAAATTTAAGATTGAAGAGTCGGAACTCGAGTCGTCTAACATGGTTATTAAAGCCTACGATAACACCATGCGTAGCGCTAAGGGGACCTTCAGGGAAGGCCATGGCTTCATCCTCTGGGTGCAATTCCTTCCACATTGCACAAAAAAGTTAAAGTACCTTGGGGCACTGATGTGGTAACCATTAATGCCCAAGAAGATCTGAATGTGACTGCAGTGGAGGGTTCAGAGGCGATTGTGCCTTTATCTGGTTTTCAGGTGGCTGTGATTGATGATGCTGTAATCACAGAAAATAAAAGTGCAGTCAACAGGATGAGCCCCTTCTCTCGTAAAATGATGAAGAAGATGTAATGGAAATATGGTAAGGGCTAGGCCGAGACTTACAAGGAAGGTTTGAACCTGTGCCATTATCACATGGTCAGCAAGATCGACGCGGACTGGGGTACTCAGCGTATTGGAAGAAAGAGAAGTATGAGGTCCAGTCTCCCATTAAAGAACCCGGACTAAATAGGATTTTCTTTACTCCGGAGGCTTCCGGAAAATTTCAGAGCAAAGGAAAGATATATCCAGGGCTGGAGATCTTCATGACAGATTTTGAGGAGTAGCTCATAAAGTCTCTAGAGCCTTCCCTCGAGCAACTTATAGACGGAACATAATTCATGATTGGCATGGACCAAGAAGGCAGTGGCACAGACTGGTCAAAGAAGATGCCTGAATTTGAAGATTTTCTGGGGATTGGGGACGAAGCTTCAAGGATGGTACAAGAACAGAAGTCCAAGGCAAGGATCCTCCAGTCAATACTAGCAGCGGAAGATGCAGAAGAAACTGAGAGGAAGATGCTGAAGATGAAAGAGGAAGCTGCCCCAGAGACCAAGGATGCTCCTGATGCTGCTGAATTGGTTCAAGCCGTCAAGGACAGTTGTGATGAATGTACTGAACAGGCTATTAATCCTGTCTTTTATTTTTCTGATTATTGTTTTGAGAACAATTTGGATGGATTCCCTTTATTATTTCAATCAATAGAAGTGAATTTTGAAGAAGTGAATTTTGATTACTTGTTTTCTTGTTTTCCTAATTGTCACGTTCATGGCATTGATTATACCACACGCATATTTGATATAAATGCAATGCAACATTTTGCATTTAATCTTAGCACCGCCGAAGATCCCAAAATAATCAAAATCGGATCAGATTTTAAACCTGAACTCAGGCAGGATCTCCAAGAATGTCTCAAGAGAAACTCAGAAGTCTTTGCTTTGAGTTATACTGATATGCCTGGGATTGACAGGTCAATTGCATAACATTTCATCCCTACTGATCCGAACATCAAGCCAGTAAGGCAGAAAAGAAGACGGGTCAGACCAGAATGGCAAGATAAAATCAAGGCCGAGGTTCAAAAGCAACTAGATGCTTGTTTCTTAGAGGTGGTACATTACCCAGAATGGCTAGCAAACATAGTCCCTGTACTTAAAAAGGATGGGAGAATAAGAGTCTGTGTCGACTACAGGGATTTAAACAAAGCCTCACCCAAGGATGACTTACCACTTCCGCACATAGATGTCCTGATTGATAGTGCTACAGGAATGGGATGTTATTCCATTATGGATGGATTTTCTGGATATAACCAAATCATGATGGCTATAATTGATAAACACAAGACTACCTTCACTACTGATTTTGGGACTTTCTGTTATAGGGTGATGCCGTTTGGATTGAAGAACGCCAGAGCAACATATTAGAGAATGGCTACAACTTTATTTCATGATATGATCCATAAAGGATTAGAGGTTTATGTGGATGATATGGTGATCATGACACAAACACAAGAAGAACACACCGAGATGTTGGGACACAAACACAAGAAGAACACACCGAGATGTTGGAAAGGTTCTTTACACGGGTCAAACAATATAACTTGAGACTCAATCCCAAAAAATGCATATTTGGAGTGATGAAGGGGAAGTTATTAGGTTTTATCATGGGACCTAATGGAATTGAGATTGACCCAGATAAAATAAAAGCTATTCAAGATATGGAATCACCAAGAACAGAACGCCAACTGAGAAGCTTCTTGGGAAAGATTCAGTATATCAGCAGGTTCATTTATAGGTTATCTATCACCTGTGCCCCAATCTTCAAGTTGCTTAGGAAGAATCAACCGGTCAAATGGAATGAGGATTGTCAAAAGGCCTTTAATCATATAAAGGAATACTTGATGAATCCACCAGTTTTAAGTTCCCCTAAACTAGGAGAGCCCTTGATTCTATACTTATCTGTAGAAGATGCATGAGTCGGAGCAATGTTGGTACAACCAGATGCCACTGGAGTAGAAAAGGCCATCTGCGATATTAGTAAGAAACTACTGCCTATTAAGGAGAAGTACAATTTGATAGAAAAAACGTGTATGGCAGTGGTATGGTCGATCAAGAAGTTGAGGCCTTATTTTGATTCTTTCAGGATCACCTTTGTATCAAAAGTTGATCCCATGAAGTATCTCCGAAGTATCTCCAAAAAACCCCTACTCTGGAAGGACGATTGTCGAAATGGCTAATTCAGATGACAAGTGTAGATGCAGAGTTTGTCACGAAGAAGAAAGTCAAGGGTCGGGCTGTTGTAGAATTCCTGGCTGAGAATCCTACAGTAGATGATGAACCATGGGAGCTAGAATTTCCAGACGAACATCTGTTATGTGTTGAAGGAGGGGTCTGGAAATTATACTTCGATGGATCAGCTAATAGGAATGGAGCTGGAGCTGGCATTATGATTGAAGCACCCAATGGCGAGGTAACAACAATGTGTAAACGATTGTTGTTCCCGATCACCAACAACATGGCAGAATATGAAGCGTGTATCATGGGAATTGAGTCTCTTCTTGCATCAGGCGCTAAGGAGGTTGAGGTGATAGGAGATTCAAGGAGGTTGAGGTGATAGGAGATTCACTACTGGTTATCGAACATGCTAATGAGAGATGGAAAGTTGAGGAAGAAAGTTTGAAGCCCTATGTTGAGTACTTATTAAAGAAATCAGCACTCTTTGACAAGATCACTTTTACTCACATAGGAAGAACTCATAACAGAATCTCAGATGCCTTGGCAAACCTAGCATCAGCATGGCAGGATTTGAGCAAAGTCCCAAAGAAGCCATTTATCATTATCGTGGCAAATATCCCATGCTATGAAGAACATTTTGTGAATCAGGTTGAGTCAAAGGAAGAACCTTGGTTTTTGGATATTCTGCGACACATGAAAGATGAAACCTTTTCTAATGAAGCAACAAAAGAAGACCGATCGGTTCTACGAAAAATGGCTTTGAACTATGTCCTAGCCGATGGTGAACTATATAGGGAAACCTATATAGGAGAGCCTGGGATGGAATGCTGCTAAGTGTGTAGATAAGAACGAAAGGAGAGGAGATGAATGAAGAAGATCCATGAAGGAATCTATGGTACTCATTTAAGTGGCATGAAGTTTGGCTCGAAAGATCATAGCAAGGCTACTTTTGGGTACAGATGGAAAGGTGACTGCGTCCGACTGCGTCAATTATGTTCGTCATTGTAAAGCCTGCCAGTACCACGATAACAAAAATCATTTGCCTGCTGTTGAGCTCCATCCAACGACTCCTTCCTAGCCTTTTTCAGCTTGGGGTATAGATATCATTGGCAAGATCACGCCAGCAGCTTCGAATGGTCATCAGTATATTTTGGTCGCCATGGACTATTTTTCTAGGTGGATCGAAGCTCAATCCTACAAGACTCTGACTGCCAAACAAGTGGCTAGATTTATTGAGCAGAACATTTTCTGTCGCTATGGCATTCCCCATCACATAGTCACAGATAATGGTTCCCACTTCCAAGCAGACGTCGGCCAGCTGTTATACAAATATAAGGTTGAGCATCATCATTCCTCTCCTTATCGGCCCCAAGCTAATGGTGCAGTGGAAGCCGCCAATAAGGAGATCAAGAGAATCCTGTCCAAAATGTGCGAGAAGTATAGAAGCTGGGCTGAGAAACTTCCTAGCTGGGTGAGAAACTTCCTTTCGCGCTCTGGGCATCGAACTACTTTCAAATCAATAAATGAGCTTCTCCTTTCGAGCTTGTATATGGATGGACAGCAGTGTTACGCCAATAGAGCTCAAAAAGAAGTCTCTCAGGGTTCTTGTAGAAGCTGGTCTGACCGAAGAAGAATGGGTCAAGAAAAGGTATGAAGATCTAGCACTTTTGGATGGAAGAAGATTGAATGCTCGATTCCAGGATCAGATGAGAAAGAGAAGGATTGCTCGTTTCTACAACAAACAGGTACATCCACGGCTTTAAAGAATGGAGATTTAGTATTGATCAGGTTGTTAAACCATGAAGCCCAGAATCATCCTGGTGGGAAATTCAAACCCAACTAGCATAGACCATTCAGAATTCAGAAGCTACTAGCTAAAGGTGCCGCTGAATTAATCACCATGGAAGGAAAGCCTGTCAATTGGATTGTCAATCAGGACCAAATGAAAAGATAGACCAGATGAAAAGGTTCTATGTCTGAGATGATGATTTCGATAAAAAAAAGGGGGAGCTCACTAGGTTGAAAACCCGAAAAGGGCGGCCTAGGCAAAAGTTAGAGTGTGAAAAAAAAATAATAATAAAAAAATAAAATTTTGGGATTAACGCATGGTGCTTAGTTTAAATGCGAAATCTATGCCATGCATTCGTGACAGACTTGCGATTGGTTGCTCAATGCTATCAACCTGACTAGAAGGAGAGCAGGCGAATGAGTAATTAGAATAAACAACTATTGTATTAGAATAATTTCTCTGCAGGCGAATGAGTAATTAGAATAAACAACTATTGTATTAGAATAATTTCTCTTTACTTCTGTATGATGTTGAAAAAAGTAGGATTAATAAAGAGCTTGAGTTTCAAATTTTTTCTCCCATTTTTGTTTCTGGGGTATGATTGTTGATTACAAGACCTTCCTCTCTGCTTATTTGGTCAAGGTGGTTGGCTGCTGGTCCTACCTGAGTATTGGATTCTTTTAGATAGCAATCAGGGGATCAAGTGCTATTTTCTCAGTGGTTTCCTTGGAAGGATCGATAAAGAAAAACCATGAGTAAAACCCTTATCACTTAGTAGGTTCATGCATACATAAGGGAGTTGCATATTTTCTTTCTTTCTGAATATTACAGGTGATAAAAGGGTCACCCCATCTTTTTGTTCAGATGTAAGTTTCTGTCCTTAATCGAAAGATCCACTCTTTATGTACTTTCATTTTTAGTCCAAGGGCAGGAGGTGCTAATCTAGCAAATAATTTCGAAAGAAAAGATTTGTTGTCTTTTTTTGACTCTAAGCGCAGAAAGCAGGAATCAATAGAGATAGAACTATCAGAGTTGTTTATTGAAAAAAAAAGAGAGGGGATATATTGATTGGGAGTCCATGGCCCCCGGAATACAGGAAACTGAACGAAAGAAAAGTTCCAACAGCATTCATCCCAGCAGTTGGATCATCAGACACCAACTCTTTCAAGACCCAGTTTCATCACTAGGAATAAAACCAGTCAATATACTCGGGTTCGGGTTTTGTCACTGTGTCTTGCATCACCCCTTGGACCTATTTTACTAGGTGTTTCGCGTTTCGCTAGCGAGTCGGCCAGATTGGTCAACAGAACTCGCGGTTGTCATAGGACCACTTTCGAAAGACCACTTTCGAAGTTATGGGCTCGGGGAACGCGCTGAACGACACCATACTGGCGGTTGATCCTGTCTGGGAAATAAGCCATGAAACGATCAAGGTTGGCATACAGCACATAACTGAGGTTTACACTTCCAGCAGTAAACAAGTCTAATCCTCCATCAAGGACAAGTCCACCAAATCACGGGGTTATCTCCAAAATCAAACTGTCCTCGGGAATGGGGCCGAAAATTAGCGGGGCCACAGGTTAGAATGGAACGTGCTGGGACCGGAGGAATCAGGCTTAGTTTATCTAAGGCCCAGGCTTACAGTAGCATCGGGCAACCCCGATGGTGAATGTTGAAATTAGTGACGTGAAGGGCAATATCTCTTCTTAAACCCAGCACCATGGTCTCTCCCTGATCATCATTGAAGATGGGGTTGGATGCGACGGTACACCTGCATGTCACGGACAAACAGTCAGCCAGTCGGAAGTCTCTTTAATTCCAGGTTGGCGATTCTTCATGGCATACCCACATTCAGGCAATAGGAAACAATAAGCCCGGAACCCAAGAAGGGTTTCGCCATCCATTCGGGACAAACACTCTATTCAGAAAAAGGCTCTAAGGGAAGAGGCCTTGATTAGGGGTCTATTCCGTCAGGGAAGATTTAAAACGCAATAGAGCCGTTAATCCTCGGGCCAGATTCATATCTGAGGGCTTGGGACAAAGCTTGGAGTTCATCTTGTACAGGGTGGTGACCCATTATGGCGCACATCTCCCTGTCGGTCGGCCGTTCACTTCGAATCTTAAAACGGAAAAACCATAGCATTTGGGATTGGAAAACCATAGCATTGGGATTGAAGTGCCCTATGAGCCAGGATAAGAAACTGGTATCAGGCTTCAAGTCTTTGAAGTACCTTAGCCAGGCTAATTGATTCAGGGGATGGATCTCCCACATGTTATCTGGAAGAGATTGAATAAAAGATGAGACTTGATTCCTAAAAGCCATGGAAGAAAGTTGTTTCAAATACGATGGAATGAGAAGAGAATGAAGAATGGACTTCCTAGTTATAGAAGGGGAAAGGTCCCACGGAGTTGAAATGATGCTCATCACCAGCTGGATGGCATCTGTCTTCGATGGTAATAGGATGTGGATAAGGTTCCACTGGATTGAAATGATGCTCATCGCCAGCTGGATAGCATCTACTTGCTGCAGTGATAGGATGCGAATGGGCCCCACTGGATTGAAAATTAGTAGTGGAAACATCCGGAGATGCAGCACATGGACAAGTGGCATCCGAACAAAGCGGTAACTCTTACTTTATGTCAATTCTAACTTTCATTTTATTTTCTTTTGTCAATTTCAGAATAAAGTAGATGTGCCCACATTAACAAGGTGAACCACTCTTGCAAATAAGTGGGATGCCTCCTTTTTGTTTCTGTGGTTTTGTTTTCTTTGTCAATTTGGAGTCGGTGTGCGGCTCGCCACACAGGGGGCAAAATCACCAAATCTACCAAATTACCCTCTAGCAGGTAAGTTTTCTTTCAACACCGCATCAGTCAGGAAGGGTATACCTGAAAATTTAGGACTAGAAAAATTTAACAAATTTTTTGCTAAAATATAAAGTTTTCAAGGTTTGCTTAAAAGATAATATTTTTGGTCCCAGGACGGAGTTCCAAACTGGGGGCAAAAATAAAATAAAATCTTTTGCCCTTATGCAAAATTTTAAATTTCAAAGTTTATGGTTATTAATGCATGGGGGCATGTGATGCTCCAACATTTAACAAAGGCGAGATCTGTTTGTACACAAAAATTTTGCTCTCTTCTCTCTTGAAAATATTTTCAGGCCAACAGGTGATGGTTTCTCGAAGCCCGTTTGGTCCCACCACAGCCAGTGATGCCGTTTGGTCCCACCAAGCAGTGATGATGTATTGCGAAGCTGTTTGGATCTCTTTTCTGATTAATGATGGTGGATTACGAAGTTGATTAGGGTAATCAAATCAAAATCCTTCGAGCCAATTAAACCGAGCTTCGGAGGTGACTTCAAAGCCGATCAGATCGAGCTTTGGAGTTGATTACAGATCCGACTGGAGCCTTCTGAGGCGATTAGACCAAGCTTTGGACGTGGCCAGATGATCAAACGAAATCCTTTAGGCCAATCAAACCAAGCCTAGGAGGTGTCTTCAAAGCCAATCAAACCCAGCTTTGGAGACAGATCTGACTGGAGCCTTCAGAGCCAATTAGATCGAGCTTTGGACGTGGCTAGATGATCAACCAAAATCCTTCAAGCCGATCAAACCGAGCCTAGGAGGTGTCTTCTAAGCTAATCAAACCGAGCTTTGAAGACAATTACAAGATTGAAGGTGCATCGAGTCAATCTTTTTCCTGATTAACGATGATGGATTACGAAGTTGATAAGGACAATCTCAAACTCTCCAAAGCCGATCTGACTAAGTTGAGGAGATCGAGTCAATCTTTTTCCTGGTTAATGATGATGGATTACGAAGTTGATCAGGACAATCTCAAACTCTCCAAAGCCGATCAGACTAAGCTGACAATCTCAAACTCTCCAAAGCCGATCAGACTAAGCTGAGGAGGTGAACAACAAAGCCGATCAGACTGAGCTTTGCCGTTTAGATCTTTTTCTCGATTTGTGATGATGCATTACGAAGCGGATCGAATCAATCCTTCTCCTGGTTAATGATGATGGATTACGAAGTTAATCAAGAC